TAAATTGGTGTCATTACAATCCCGATAAATGTTTTTGGTTTCAATAGACCATTTTAACAATTTTAGTGAAAAATCATGAATATTACAAAAACGAACGGCCTAAAATTATTAAAGTTTTAGAATAATGCGTTGAAACGTCAAGATGCGCACTTAAAAACACCACAATCTACAAAGAAGCTATGACAAGGAGGTCACCACTCAACGTCACCATACCTTTATTTTATATTTGTAAAATTGTGTAAAATTTAGATTTCTTGATTTGCTTCGGAAGTAAATTTTCAACTTGGAAAAGTTACAAATTTTAGATTGTTCGAAGATGTTCTTTTCATAATGATTTTTCACTAACAACTCAATTTTGAATGGCTAAATTATCCGTGAAATCGTCCAAAAAAAAAAAAGAAAACAGTATTTGACAATTTGATTATTCAATTATTTAATTCTTAATTCCTTATTTGAAAAATAATATTTTTATAAAATTTGTAAAACATTTTTTTATACCAACAAATTTGTTTCTTCCTCAGAATTCAAAGAAGAAATAAAGGCTGAAATTAAATGTGAGCAACAAGAGTCATTTTGCACTTTGCCTCAAAAGCCATCTCACGATGTTGTCCACCGTCATGACGAAGTTTCGATGACACTTGACAAGATACGTCGACTAAAAGCAATATATCCGAATCACATCACAGTAACATACTTATCAGGAAATCCTGGTTGTGGAAAAAGCGAGCTTGCAAGACAGATTGGAGAAAAACATTTCGATGAAATTGACAAGGACGAACCGTCCAAATTCGTGGCTACATTAAATGCATCGAGTCTCGAGATTTTAACTCAGTCGTACATAAAACTGGCATTCCAGCTTCAATGCAACGACGTGTCCCTGATCATGTCATCAGAAAAGAATTCTCAAGAACAGAAACTTGCTCAGTTACAAGCGCTCGTAATTCCAAAGGTTCAGAAATATTCCTCATGGCTGATTATTGTTGACAACGTTGAAGATATTAAAATGATTTCCAAGTTTATACCGCACTCAGGTCAAAAGCTGCTTCATCATGGAAAGGGACATATCCTGATCACTACTCAAGACATCGAGTCTATACCAACAAGCGATTCGCATGCGCACCAGATTCAGCTTAAAAATGGTATGAAATTACATGAYGCAGCTCAGACCCTGTATACAATATCTGGATTGTCATGCGACGAAGAAATCGCAAAGAAATTATGCAAAAAACTAGACTTTCAGCCTCTAGCGCTTGCATAATTTTGCATTAACATTCTTTTGAACGGTGTTACACTTTCATTTTTACAAAAGGGTTTCATAATAAAGTGGGTCGTTATAGCATTTATGGTTATGCATGAATTCACAGTTATTATGCGAGCCTATTCTTCAACAAAGTGGTCCCCTATACCTCTTGCGTGATTCAGATAGCCCGATTGTTTTTTGCGTGAAACATGAATGCAGCCTATTTCATCCGTGATACGCCAGTCTAACTTTGTACGTACACGCCGATCCCGCTTTTTCTTTCAGCGTGAATACCGAAATGAAATATTCATTTAACGTGATTTGCTAACCCCTTGATGGGAGGTTTGCGTGACGATTTGATGGCGTTGAATGGTCTTAGTTTTTGTTAAAGCGGTCACTTGACATGTGTTTACAAAAATGTTATTCTGTCCAATGTAATTTCTCACGATTGGATGTTATACTTCACTACANGAGGTCACGAATAGATACCAATCGATCCATTGGTATAAGATAAACTCCACTCGTATATGAGGAATTCAATTGGTTGACGTCACAACAAACCATCCATCAAATAATCCATACATGCTTCGTTCATAAAGCCATTTGGGATCCCTGTCTTAATGACGACATCTCCTCACCCCTACCACAACATCCCGAGGTCACGAATAGATACCAATCGATCCATTGGTATAAGATAAACTCCACTCGTATATGAGGAATTCAATTGGTTGACGTCACAACAAACCATCCATCAAATAATCCATACATGCTTCGTTCATAAAGCCATTTGGGATCCCTGTCTTAATGACGACATCTCCTCACCCCTACCACAACATCCCGAGGTCACGAATAGATACCAATCGAACCATTGGTATAACATAAAGTCCACTCGTATGTGAGGAATTCCATTGGTTGACGTCACATCCATCAAATAATCCACTAAGACCATTCAACGCCATCAAATCGTCACGCAAACCTCCCATCAAGGCAAGGGTTAGCAAATCACGTTAAATGAATATTTCATTTCGGTATTCACGCTGAAAGAAAAAGCGGGATCGGCGTGTACGTACAAAGTTAGACTGGCGTATCACGGATGAAAAAGGCTGCATTCATGTTTCACGCAAAAAACAATCGGGCTATCTGAATCACGCAAGAGGTATAGGGGACCACTTTGTTGAAGAATAGGCTCTCATGACAATATTTGGAACAATAATATACCTCATTCCATGTCCTTTGGATGGTAATCAGTTGATTTTRTAYGATKTTMAGCTCTTTWGAGCATTTTAGCTACATTTTAGAACCATTTAAAACGAGACAACTTTTTGCCGCCGTCTGTCCCCCATTTTGTTTTCATCTCAAACTCAAATGTTTGGCCCAAATATGGTATCAAAATTATGCTAATCATCTTGAATATTCTGGAGCATCTGACCGTGCTACACGTTTCAATCCCCTTATGAGTTTATCGTGAAGGTGCACTTTAATTACCATATGGGTTGGTGGCTAGCCGTATAGGTTGCGTTTGTATCAGTTTTCAAGTATAGCCGAATTCTTTACTACGTGGTTAAGTCATTTTTTAAAGAAATAAATAACATTTTTTCTAGCTTCAAGAGTGCCACCTGAGATAATTGCACATGGGCGTGTTGCTGAAAGAAACTATCAAAAGGCATTAAATTATGGACAAGTGGAAATCTATCGAGGATGCGTGAAAATAATTGGCCAAGACAGAGCAGGAAAAACTAGCCTGATGAGATCTCTGTGTGGTTTCCCATTCAATACCGAAGAAGAAAGCACAGTGGGGGTAGAGGTTTCGCTATGTACGCCTGTTACTATGAACAACGTCAAGAGGTGGATCAAAGTGACTGATGAGGGCATAATAGCCGACGTTGACGTTGCTCGTACGATGGCCAGAGATATCAAAATGCAGGTAAAATCTATTAGGTGTTTAACAAAGTTTATATCATGATGAGGTCGTGTCAATCGTAAATTCAGACATTTTTTTTTTCTATTTAAAGAAATATTAAAAACCTTATATAGCATAGGATAGCGTAAATGAAATTGATATCAACAAAAGAGCAAACAATATTTTATGATGTGAACGTTCTGAGAAGAACGAAAGAAAAAAAAACAATGAAACTAATAATCCTTTTATTGTTTCAACCAAACCCTTGGTCTTTTTGGTGTAACGGCGCTCGATTAAGTCTACCAATTGATGTTTCCGTCCTTTTCCGGAACACTTTTTTTCCAGTGCAAATGATTTAAAGATATGAGTATTCAAAATGGCTTAAAGATATCCCCAAAATGATTATTTGGAATTAAATTAAGTCGTCAAAATGAAGTTTAAGTAATTTTGTTTTGATTTCTTTCCATTATCATTATATCATGCTCTGACTTGACGATTGTTGTATACATGTATATGAGAAAGTACATCACAAAAGGGGTCTTGTCTTTAGCGGGAAAATCCAGTCTTCCAAAAGACGCAATTAATTCACTCGCTGCATCAAAAGGGTCTTAATTCTTTAGCTCCCTTTTGTGCTGTCCTTTCTCGTATAGATTTCTTCATGGAAAGTGCTGACGTACGGGATTTTCGCATGAATTGAGTTGACGATGAATCTTAACGACGAGTGAGCGTAGCGACGCGAACGAGTGAGGTTTCAGATTCAAAACCAACGAGTGTGAATATCCCGTACAAAAGCACTTTCCATTATGAAGTTTGTTATATACCATATACTTTAACAGTATTTGTTCATAGGATAATATCGTGTGGGCATACAAAATACAGTCGGTTTAAAAACTTTACAATATATTTGTAGAAGTAACATATTGTCAGTTGCAATTTGTTTTGGATGATCTGGGTGGATGTTGCCCTGCCAAGAGAGATACTGTTTGACATTCGTGACTGCTTGACAATTTGGGCGGCAGTGATCTTCAGTGTGAAGCGAAGAAAAAAAATCAGATTGGTAATTATTGCTCGTGTAGTAATTTCGGCGTATATAGCTTCGATGGCATTACCACAGGGAGCCCAAGCAATGAATTCGAACCTCTAATAGTTAAAAATAATATTTTACTTAAAAAATGGTCTACTTTTATTTTATTCAGTGTCACAATGCATTATAAATGGGTTTTAAAAAATTTCCCCTCCCTATATATATATATAGTGACAAGGGAGGAGACTCCGCTCGAAATTCTCCTAAAAATGAGCCAAAAACGATCACAAAAATCCTTTCTTCGCACCGAAATTAAATCAAAACGAAATTCTATCTGAGACAGCATATGTAAATCAACGTTTTTTACCTTATTTTGGACGACAGGCATCGATAGAAACGCTTTTTCGGGCAAAAAAATCCAAAAGTGTTCCCAAAAATAGCTCAAACCCATCCATCCGTGTCGAGGTTATCCTGAATCCACTTGCCCGCGCAAAACTGAAAACTTGACAAATGCATTTATAATGCATTGTGACACTGAATAAAATAAAAGTAGACTATTTTTTTAAGTAAAATATTATTTACCAACTATTATAGGTTCAAATTCATTGCTTGGGCTCCCTGTGGCATTACTCCAATTCTCGGTTTGCACATTACGTCATCAGAAAAAAAATTCTAAAATCACAGACACAACATTGCAGTACTAAAATACCTTGAAAAGCATGATAGAAGGGGAGGGTGAATAGGTTTTCGGATCGGCGGAACTGGGCCTAAAATGACACGCGGATTACGGATTTAAAGAAAAAATAGAGCGGATTGCCGGATTCTTAAAACGTACCGGATCACGGATTTATTGAAAATTTAACGTCGGATYTCGGATTCTATAATGGCGATAATCGTGACTGCGAATTTTGCCGATTGTTGACTACAAAAAAATAATATAAGAAGTCACTAAGAAGGCCTTATAAACGGGCGAAACGAGACTACAGGCTCTGCGCTGTGTGGAAACGTCTTCTCTGAGCTTATTATGGCAAATATGGCATCAGCGGGTCTTGAATTAGCAGAAACTTATGATTTTCTTATTATCGATTGCTATCACGATTTAGGATTCGGATTGAAGCAAAACTTTGCGCGGCAAACTGTTGTTTATGATACTTACTGTCTTTTAATCATTTAAAGTTCCATATGTGGCATTTAGTTGAGGAAGTCATCTGTTAAGGGTACGTCTAAACGACAAAATGTAACTCACTGTGATGTTGCTTTGAATATCGTACTTCTGCAATGCCTTAATCAACCTCTTTATACAAAATGATCAGATAAATATGGCATATATAATGTTAATTCGACAAATATTTTTCCATCATATTCATTATCCTGGTTGACTCTATATGCATCTTTTTAGGGCGACTTGACTGGGGATACAGAGGGTAAGTTAATATAAATTTAATCATTTTGAACTACTAGAAGAATTGCCTTTGGTCTTAACAATAGATTTTGATGCCATAATTACATCAGGGTCTGAATGGGGTTAACTCTTAACTGAGAAACGGCTAAAATAATAACTGTTAACTGAGAATTTCGGGTTCATTCAGCTGATAACTGATATTAACAAGATAACTGTTAGCTGATATTCCTTTGTTTGCACATGGTGAACGCAGGCGCCAAAAATGACACGACCCCGATGACGATTCCTTCGCTTTGTATGTGCTGCCACACACTCTGAGGGACCAGCGCTTCGTGAGAACGATCATTTTTAGCAGTACGACGTCCGTGAAAACCAGCTGACTAAGATCAAATATGACACAGCAACGATTCAGCGATAAATAAATCTATTATTGACTCATTGAATTGTCACGATCAAAAATGCCTTTTTTCATTGTTAAATTACACAAAATTTTCATTGCATTATATGCCTTCTCGATGCTCTCAAAATGCTGGAAATCGCATTTCCGAGAATTCCAAAATTTTCCGCGCCGAGTACCCCACTCAGAAAAACTCGAGCCTTCGGCGCTCATCAGCCCCCACATAACCAACTGCTCCGCGGTTCCTGTATGGCTATCAACTTTACGTCACGGCATAGATATAACTGCTGATGCGTTTTGACTTGATCAAAGCCATCTATCATCGTTCTGAATGGTGAAAGTATTAGTTTGCTACTATAGAAAAGGGGAGGAGGTACACTTTGAGAGTTATCAGAGTTCCAATATTAACTACAGTGTTCAAAGCTCAGTATTAAAGCTGAAGAACCATTTGGGGAATTTTCTTAGTCTGAAAGAACAGACCACACTGGTAAAACGTACTTTTAGTTGTTAATTATTACACAAAAATAATAATTAACATAAGAAATTTAACTGATAACTGAGAAAATTGCCAAAATTTAGCTGTTAACTGATATCGGGACCCCCCATTCAGACACTGTTACATACCTGCACTGCAAGGAAATGACTTCAAAGTCCATGCAATTAGTATCATTTCCAGGCGATTGTAGTTTCGAGTACGAGGATGTTAATACATGAATAATTCATATTTAAAAGTTACTAATAAAAATAATGATGGTTTTGATAAAGGTAATGATGGTGGATCCAATTACTTGCCTCAACAAGTCAGTTCTGAAAACATACAAGTACCAAAGGAAGTCCAGCAATCGCCGGAGAGGAAAATTGAAACCGAGAACCACGAGGCAACCACAAAGAAAATACTTGAATCTTCATCAAAGAAAAGTCTAAAAGTGCCAGAGGGAGTTAAGATGTCACTGATCAAGTATTTACAGGAAAAGAAAATAGATGAAACTATAAAAGATAAGGAAGTCGCAATAAGTATTTGGGATTTTGCTGGCCAACACTTGTACTACGCATCTCATCCAGTTTTCATGTCCCATCGAGCAATCTATATCTTGGTTTATAACCTTGGAAAAGATTTGGACGACAAGGCAGAACATCGTGCTCGTCAGGGAACAAGGGAAATTGTACTAGATAATGCAAGTAATGAGACCAATCTGGACAACCTTTTGTCGTGGTTAGTATCTGTACACTGCCTTTGCCAGCCCCATACTGACAGTGGGGTTGAAACGGAAGATTACATTTGTCCACCGGTAATCATTGTTGGTACCCATGCTGATGAGTTACCTGGAAGCGAGGATGAAAAAAAGAGACTCATACAAACCAAGCAGCGAAAAATAGAGAGCGCAATTGAAAAGTGCGAGTTTCAGAACCACGTGCTGAGGCCATTCTTTGTTGTTGACAACAGTAAGTCGGATGATGATGGGATTAAGAGTCTCCACTTGAAAATCAACGAAGTACTTGACATGGAGCCTTACTTTCCAGAATCAGTACCCATTCGTTGGTTTCATTTCGAGAAGGTAAATGAATTCATTGGAAACAACTGTTGAAAATAAGGCGTACATAGCTATGTATTTCGATTTCTCTGCCTCATGTATCAGTTTCTGGACAACCACTAAGGATTTTCTTCTAATATATTGCTATATGTACATTTTGCGCTAAGCGATGATTAATAACTTTTATTGTACTTTCTAGAACACTGCAGGTAACATCATTTGTGCGAAACAATTCAACTATTAGCTTTGCTATGTAAAAATAATCTCAAAGTTTCCATGCTAATTGAAACAAGAGGCCTTTTTTAGTATCTGTTTGCAAGGTGAATGTTTATCATGCACGTAAACAATGTTTTCTCAAATTATAGTTTTTCAATGTTGCATTACAGCTTAGTATGTTATTTTATCGCGAATTTATGCCATTTGTTTTTTTGCAGGCTTTGCAATCACTTGTACAAGAGAAGAAGACATCATTTCTGTCATTAAAGGAACTTTCAGAGATCGCTGAGCAGGTTTGCTCTATTGATCAGACGGAGATCGCCGCCATGTTAAACTTCTATCACGATCTTGGCAAAATTATCAAGTATGGTGGCACAGTTGTACTCGACGCTAAGTGGTTGATTAACCTGTTCAAAAGTCTTATTACTATTGAACCTGATGAAGTGGTAATTCAATGTTAACATGTTTTAGTTATTCGAATTCATCTGTGAATTCGCTTCCATCACGGAAACTTACAAGTGTATATTTACGAACAATTCGATTCACTCTATATTACAAACACTCCAGATGGCTGACTTCCAGATTACTAGCATCTTCAGTGACAGATATTACATTACATAGGCTTGCGGAGATACGGATTTTGTCTTCGAGTGTTGAAAATCATAATGTATGATAAATGTCAATATTACACAGAGACCTTAATCGTTGCGACAAATTGTGCACAATCCTATGTTAAAAACAACTCTACTTCGCATTAAAAGTGAAAGAGGAACACTAAGGAGTCGCGTCCTAAAAATATAATCTTTACATTTCTAGTGCTTTATATAGATCTCTTTATTACTATTTAGAAAGCCAAGCATCGAAAGCTCTGGAGAGAGCTAGCAGAAACTGGAAGATTGCATACGAACCTGATCAATCACGTCTTTCAAGAACAATTGAAATACGCACCTTCGGAAACTAAGAACGACGCAAAAAAAGACATCCTTCACATGATGGAATATTTTGGATTGATTGCCCAAATAATCCCAAGTGATCAGAAGGACGGCTATTGTCATTTGGTTCCCTCACACCTGACTTCATCACCCGAGGAAGAATTAAAAAAGTGCCAGCCATCCTCAGACGAACCCTGTCCGTTGTATATCCGCTTTGAGGACGGATTCATCCCACACGGTTTATATTTCCAGCTGATTTGCCAATGGTGCTCCTTATATGGATCTCAGAAGCGACCGAATCTGTTTCCGATAGAGCCTAAGTTGTTTCGTAATGCTGCCAAGTTTGTTTTGGATAACAATTCCAAAGTCATCATGACAGTAGTATGCTGTAAGAGCAACATTAAGGTATGCCTGCATTCAAATCGCGAGGACAAAACTGGCGTCGATTTCAAGGCAGTTGAGATAAGAAACTTAATCGAGGAAAGCTTGGACAGCTTAACAGAAAAGTGTCCTTGGTACCAAGGCCTACAGTATGACCTATGCATAAGATGTCCATTGTGTGCAGTGAACGCTACTGATAAAGCAGAAGGACACCCTTTTAGAGACGACAACTGCCTGCATCCAGCCACTGACGGTAAAGAATTTTGTTGCAAAGAGAAATTAGAATGGCCAGAGGTGTCGGGACTGCATCATTGGTTTTCCAGACAAACCGTGAGTTTTAATATGATCAGTTCTACTTAATATAATTCTCTGCAAAATTGAGGCCAAGCACCTGACGGATTTCGATAATGATTTCTCTTTTCTATTTTAGTTTTCCTTGTATATAAACTTTGCTACCCTTCCTGTACACGTTCATGCAGAACTTGATCCTTAAAAATTAAAATGTATTGGCATCACGAGTGTTTTAACTTTCCGATGTGCTTACGGACATTGTTGTGTAGCTGTATACTTGACTGTTTAAACATAGCTCTTGAGTTTGTGCTAATGAATATTCTACGCGTTTAATCAATCAACAGATCGAGCCCTCGGATCTTCAAAGCGTAAGAGGAGGTATGACTTGAATTGGAAGCATTGTAAAACGTCGTCGTAATTTATCATTTCATGACTCATTATTTTTCATTTCTGTTCTTATTCAGATATGCGTGTCTCAAATGGTTTATGTGTGGTCATCAACATTGCAAAGTTTGACCAGAGATTGCAAAAAGAGTTACGAGATCGGATTGGCTCAGAGTACGACGAAAAAGCAATGGTTGAATTGTTTGGCGACCACTTTGGTTTCGAAGTTGTGAACCTCGGTAACAAAATCGGAGCAAAGGAAGTTAAAAAAGAGCTTCGGAACATTTCTTTTGACAAGAAGTATGAAGACAAGGATTGCTTTGTTCTCTGCATAATGAGCCATGGAAATGAGGGTGTTTTCTATACATCTGAGGGTCAAACAATTGAATACAAGGAAATTGTCTCCTACTTCGAAAACGACATGTGCAAGAGCTTCCGCGGGAAACCCAAGCTGTTTATCATTCAAGCATGTCGAGGCAGTGGTGTGGACCGTGGAATTGCTGTTACTGATTCCCCGGCTGACTCAAAAGAAAACCAAGAAAGCCAGAAGAGTCGTGCAATTCATCAAAAATCATCAGAGAGAGAGCGTGTTATTCCTTGCAAGGCTGATGTTCTTCAAGCTTTTTGTTGTAGCGAAGGCTACATATCGTGCCGTGATCAGAGCACAGGAAGTTACTATATTCAGAGTTTAGTTAGGATTTTTCGTAGATATGCCGCATCCAAAGACGTACTGTGGATGCTTACGAAGGTCAATAAAGATGTTGGCTGCAAACAAATGAAGTTAACGGACGAACCACGTGTAAAGCAGGCTCCATGGCATGAAAGCTCATTACGAGAGACAGTGTATTTTTGTACGAAGTAAACTGCAATTCCTTAGTACAAACTCAGTCTGTAAAACTGAAGTAGAGATAGAGATAGAGATAGAGAAATGTGTAGCCGACTTTCCAGGTTTTGCAGACCAATGATCTGAATTACATCTGGATTACATTGTGAGGGACTTGGTCAGACTGCTATTGAAGGCGCTTTAAGCAGCCGTGCAGTTTACAATCATGAGGAAGTTAGAATTTGTGAGTGCGTTAGTGTGTTAGTGCCCTCAAGGTTATGCGGCCGAAGTACAGACACTGAGGATGGCCGTACCTGCGTCCTCAGTAATTCTGTAACGTCCACTACAGGGTTAGAGTAGAGTAGATGGGATCTCCGATTTAACGTCGTTATCCGAGAGGACGTGAAGATCTTACCATTTGTAGATGGAGAAACAAAGGCAGCAACTTCTACTCAATTATTTCAAGTAGAACATAGTAGAAATCAAATAAAACAATGTAAATAACTTCGCTTGCATTCTAAAGTTTTCGAAGAGAAATAGCTTTTTGAATTTAATAATATCTTAGAATAAAGAAAATATATAACCATTTCCTGACATCTAATCTTTTATCATCATTATCGTTAGACTTGCTGTCTAATCCTCCAAGATCATCTTTAGGAAAGGATAGGTACAATCGTTGACAACTGAAATCCTTGGACCATTCCAGCGACTTTCTCACACCCGATTAAGACAATTTCATCGGCCCTTACCCCCTAAATGCAATGTTGCCATTGAGCATATTTTCATAGTACACAACCATCTAAAACAAGACCCAACATTGGTGAAAGGGGGAAACTGTGAAAAAATAAAGGAGAACTACGTTAGGCTGGAGATGAATAATTATATGGTCCAAGGCAACGATTGTAGTTTCACTAGTTCATGATTAATTAGTCCGACTGAATCAATTAGCGTTTACAAAAGACGATACAATGAACTATGCTGGAAAAACGTAGACATGATGCTTATGTAGCTTATGTATTAAAGGTACATGGTCCACTAGCATGCAATGCGGTCGTGTTTTAGATTTTTGTGACGAAGGCCTATTTTTCATATATGGAAAATGAGGTGACTTCAAATATCCATTCGCAATCCGTTTCCATCCATCGGATTAAAGGCCGAATCTTAAGCATCTCCATTCCTATAGTATAAAGAAATAATAAAGAGTAAGTGTTTTCTTATATTACGATGTATTTCTATTTTCAAAAATAAACAAAGGCTCGAAAGGGATGCCGGTGGACCATTACTTTAAGTTTTTGGTAAGTATCAAAGATATCGACCCTTTGTACACCACCTAGTAATTCGAAACGTCCAGTTTGAGCGGGCAACAGCATAACATCGTAAATTCAACAAGCTATTCTTGTTTAGATATGATGTAATAGTCAATAAAGCTCTGAGAGGACCGATATTGCGGTATTGTCTATACCTGAATACCTATACTACTTTCACTATTAGAGTGCACTAAAACTGTGTAACATAAATACCACTAAATGCTGTTAAATTATGCTAATTCCATTGTTTTCTATTGTTTAATTAACACTATTTTGTAGTAAATAGAAGTGTTGCACACATTTAGTGTTTGTACTCTAGTAGATGTACTACAATCACTAACATGACTGTATCCAGCTATACTAATGTATGACCTCCCGACGGTATTTTCACCACACTCTTCTCTTTCAAGAAGCCTGTCATTGTTTCTCTTATTATCATCTTCAACTATCTCGCTATAAACTTCCCTTGAGTTTTTCGCGTTTATTTGTCTTTCAAGTCTTGTTCTCCAAGTCTCTTTTTCTGTTGAACTTGTCAAATCTAAAAATTTATGTTCTTGTTTGTAAGGCTTGTGGAATGTCTTCTAAAGCAACACCAAGATTTATTATAACTAATACCATGGAACGAGGGAAATTAGTGGTTAAATTTCCCCGAAATCGAGGAAAAATTTGTGGAAGTCCCGAGGGCGCAGTTACTTTGTCTTCTATTGTTTTTGTATTAATTAATTCGACATTGGTTCGGTAGTACTATTTCATATATTTGTTTTGTAGTCCCTTAGGGTACCAAAGATAATATTTATATCGCAGAATGAATCAAGCCGCCAATGCAACACAACTCAGTAGAGACAGTAGAGATACCATTTCACTGTAACAGGATTAATGTATTATCAAAAACTTCTTATTGTCTTTGATGGATGTCAGTGTTGCAGTTTTGATGGTTGCGGCGTACGTAGATAGCGATTCCTTATTTTTCCGATTTGTCTTGAACAGGGTATGGATTTTTACTTTCTAGTGTCTTAAACAGGGTCAGGGTTTTAGACCGCTGGCGGCACGTACCTATCCAAAACGGGGTCGAGTACGGGGGATTGTGTAGACAAATACGGAACAATACGACGAATCAAATTATAAGTACTTAAAGGCCCAGTGTGCACCATTATCCTTTGGGGGTTACAAGGCGGGAATTTTCAATTTTCAAGTCTATAAATTGTACTGTGTGTTTCGAATCTTTGACCATCTCACTTTTCAAAGCACTTTAAACGATAATATTGGAGTTTTCAACCATCTGGATACTAGAAGTATTTTGGTGTAAATCATAACAATAACAGAGGCACGCAAAGCATAATGGTGCAAACTGGGCCTTTAACTAATAGAATTCTAAGTAAACGATTTTTGAACGCAGTGTCACCGCAAGTGTCAAAAAGCAATAATAACAATCCCTAAGTAAACACATCGTCGCCTCAACGTTAATCAACGATCGATACCTCGGGAGTTCAATTAAAGCAAAGAGATAACTTCAACAAACAGCCAAATAGTAGCCGGTTTAACAAGCAAAAGGGACAATTTCTTAACAAAATTTCTCAAACTCATTAATAATTCATGACTTCATAGTCCAATCGGATGTTTATTTTAAAGTCACGTGCATACCCTTGTATACCATGATCCAACATCGAATGCTAATTAGTTCCAAACCCGTGTGTTAAGATATCCAGATCCATGTGTTTGGATATCCAGACACATGCATGGGTTTGGAACTCATTAACATAAATTTGCTAGGCTCTTAAAACTTCTCCGTTACTTTTAACCACTTATCTTTTTGGGGTGTTTTTTCTCTTCTTCTTATTTCTCTAATCTTTATTTTAACTAATCAATTTTTATGTTMTGTTATTTTACTATATTATATTAACTACTTCTTACCATTGGAGTGGCTCGAACCGGTGACCTTTGGGTTGAGAGTACAGTGCGTAACCAACTTAGCTAGTGATGATTTTGTTGAAACTATTGGGTTTGACGTATTATTTATATTTCTCCTTGTGGCTATGTTAACTTATTACACGTAGAAAATCGATAGATCTATATTTGCTAAAGAAGCGATTATACTTTATAGTTGTCCACGGTACATTTAATGGTCAGTTTTTTTCATTCTTATAGAGATGTGTACACTGTACATTTTGCATATTTTGTACTCATCTTTTATTCTTTATATTTATTCTATGAATACTTCATTCATATTTGAACATACATATTTCTTATTGAGGTTTTTTGTAATACACATTTATGACAAATTGATCACTGGGTTTTCTGGAGCATTGGATAATATGCGTTTCTCCCTCTTGTCGCCTGCTGACCGGCCGGGTACTGTTGATGTACTMGTGGGTATGGTCATGGTCGAACCCACAGGCTGCGATCCGACATGTCCGAGAACGTTTRACAYTATCTTGCATACGTTTGTACTTGGTTTTTCGTAATGTCTACACATTTGCCATGACATGAAAATTTCCACGGCCCACTTCGTTTTGCCAATATAGACCAATAGACTCGAATGGTAAATAGTCTAACTCCATTCGTCTCTATTGGTAGTCAATACTAGATTCATTCTGACTTTAAGAAGTCATTTGGATCAATTGGTTGACGTCACAACAAACCATCCATCAAATAATCCATACATGCTTCGTTCATAAAGCCATCTGGGATCCCTGTCTTAATGACGATATCTCCTCATCCCTACCACAACATCCCGAGGTCACGAATAGATACCAATCGATCCATTGGTATAAGATAAACTCCACTCGTATATGAGGAATTCAATTGGTTGACGTCACAACAAACCATCCATCAAATAATCCATACATGCTTCGTTCATAAAGCCATTTGGGATCCCTGTCTTAATGACGACATCTCCTCACTCCTCACAACATCCCGAGGTCACGAATAGATACCAATCGATCCATTGGTATAACATAAAGTCCACTCGTATGTGAGGAATTCCATTGGTTGACGTCACATCCATCAAATAATCCATACATGCCCTCTTCATAAAATCATCGGTAAAAGATTTTAGCCATGCTTCATTCATAAAGCGTCATAATCCATAAATGCTTCGCTACTGAATCTATCGAGCGATGATAAGGCACTGTAGTGAAGTATAACATCCAATCGTGAGAAATTACATTGGACAGAATAACATTTTTGTAAACACATGTCAAGTGACCGCTTTAACAAAAACTAAGACCATTCAACGCCATCAAATCGTCACGCAAACCTCCCATCAAGGGGTTAGCNGAAATAAAAACGCATCATACAATGAATTTTTATTAAATAAATTCACGCTACATCTGCTACAGTTTGAGAGGCATAGTAAAAAAGTTCGTTTTAGGAAAATGCGAAAACAAAGTGGAACACCCGCCTTTGAAAAATCCTGGAACCGGCACTGGAGTGACATGGTATTACTTTGTAAATCTATGATCGGGGAGGAAGCAAGGAAACATCTTTGATATTATGTCCAGTTTTTTTAAGGAGGAGGAGGGGGGCAGAGCGCAATTTATTTCATTTGCAAGAGAGGGTAGTAATTAACTTTTTTTTTTGACTTTTTGGCTCTTTACAACATGCCCTCCTGATAAATATTTCGCAGTCCCTCGATTTCTCGGTTTTCCAGGTTATAGACGTTAACACACTGTACACACTGTATATGCTTCGATTGAGCGAAAAAGCTTTTATGCACAGAGTATTAAAGATAACTTTCAAGAAAAACTAAAAGATATTAATTTTGTTTTGTTAAGCGGGTTACTTATAATTGTAATCATTTCCTAGAGAATGACTACGATATAATCACAGTGACAAAGGAGCAACTTTTTGAATGCCACAAATAACCATCAAATCAATTGCAAAGACTGATCCTTATAAGAAGATTTTCATTCCCTTCGATTATTACAAAATGATTTCATGAATATACCGAGTTGAAAGAAGTCAAAACCCTTTTGAAAACAATAGAAAATGGGTGTGCTTGGTCTGGTTTTTAACCTATATTTATGGTTTGAGGCACAAGTAAAAACCGTTTTGATGGTCTATTAAACCATGGTACTACTTATATTCCAATCCTCTTTTCTTTTCCAGAGAGCTTTCCTAAAGGCTTCAGAGGATGGCTGCAAGTATACCATCATCATCATCCTCATCATCATCATCATCGTCCACTGTAGTAAAGAACAAGACCAATTACACTAGACTGTGCAGACTTATAGTGGACATTGGATCAAGAGTGTTGAGAGGAGTCCTTGATGCCCAACTTYCCCCACCTGCTGATCTGCAAAGGCACCTCAACTCACCTGGTATACACAGTATACTGAAAACATTAAGAAGTAAAAGAGTTCTGAATACACAACAATGGGACAAGCTGTACCCACCAACACCAGGAGTGCCATCGTCGACGACCTTCGATATAACACTGCTCTTCCTTCTCCTAAGGAACACCTGTGGTCTGACTCCACCTACGACAGGATGGAATGCTGTCCCTCTACCAGCAGATATAAGTAAAGAGGCAGACCTGATTCGAGTAAAACAATGTCGAAATGAGATCACTGGTCACAGCGCTGTGATGGAACTTTCAGATGTTGATTTTGGAAACCACTGGGCTGAAATTGAGGCAACCTTGATAAGACTTGGAGGATTGCAGTATGAACCAGAAATCCAGCGTCTGAAAATCGAGTCCATTGACYCAGAAAATGAAGCCTATTTGAACGTCCTTATTCAGTCTTGGGAAGAAGGCGAGGATAAGAAATTGGATGTCATTAGAGAAGAAATCAATCAACTAAAAATACAACAGTCTACAATATTCCAAGGTAATGTTTTTAAATTGCCATGATTATATATGCAGCATGTCCATTTAAGAGGTTTCAGCTTCACCTACAGTGGAACACCACTCCGTCATAACAGCCACTTTTTTTATCGCTTCTTTGGCCGGAATAATGATTAATATAWAATTTGAATGTTCTTGTCCAATCATGGAGAGATTTGATTATTTAATTCTTAACTCCTTATTTGAAAAATAAAATATATACATTTATTTTGTACAGCATTTTTTTTTTATGCCAACAAATGTGTTTCTTCTTCAGAATTCAAAGAAGAAATAAAGGCTGAAATT